CATTTCATCCAAAAAAGTACTTTTCTCTGTTGTGATATCCTTTTAATTCTCTACTAATTTCCAACTCGAACCTTTTGTAGGTACTGCTAACATATTTCTTTCTCCACTGAGACTGTTTGTGTATGTTTGTGCTCACCTACATACATACACACAAATGCACATGCACACATTCAACCCCCCAAATTTTTAAATCAAATGGGCATTTTCTACCCAATACTCACCAATCACAATTCTTCAGGTTTTTTTAAAAAAATTATTTACTTATTCATTTATTCATTTACTAGCTGTACCCAGCCACGCGTTGTTGTGGCCCGTCTGGTGCTTCCGCTGGGCTAAAAGAGCGAGGCTGAAGTTCCAAACTCTCCACGAACACTTGGTGGGCGTGGCCAACTTGACGTCATTCACTTTCATCAGTCACATGACAGCCCCCGAGCCAAGTCTACCCAGCTGGTGATTAGGGCAGAGAACCGGTTGCTAAAAAACAAGGGGAACCACAAAATCCTCCCTCTCTGTCTCCCCCTCTCTCTTTGTATCTCTCTATGTCTCTCTCCCCCCCTGTATCTCTCTATGTCTCTCTCTCTCCCCCCCTGTATCTCTCTCTGTCTCTCTCTCACCCCCTCTGTATCTTTCTATGTCTCTCTCTCCCCTCCCATATCTCTCTATGTGTCTCTCTCTCCCCCTCTCTCTGTGTCTCTCTGTCTCTCTCTCTCCCACCCTCTCTCTCTGTATTTCTCTATGTCTCTCTCTCCCTCTCTCTCTGTTTATCTCTGTCTCTGGCCCGCCCTCTTCTGCATCCCCTGCCATCGCCCTTACCTTTTCAGGCCAGGCCTTCGCAGCTCTCCGCACCACAACAGAAACTCGGGGCCCCCCTCCATCCTCCCTACAGATGTTCTCTGGGGGCTCGACTGGGAGACACATAGCAGGGAAGGGAAGGGAGGGAGGGAGTGTGGTGGGGGTTCAAAGCTGGTTTGGGGCTTCCCACCCAAAGGAAAAAAGCGGCAAAGCCAGGAGCCACGCACCCCCCACTGGACCCCTGCTGTGCAGTTCTCCTCCCCCACCTGCCAAGGGCAGGGGAATGATTAAATCCCTCGCTCTTCCAGGCGAAACAAAGGAGGGCCGGCCATCCTCCCTCCTACCCGTTTCCGCCCCCCGAAGCCTCCCCAGAGCCCCTTTTCTGCCAGAGACCAAAATTTTTGTGTAGGCTCCGTGAACTGCCAGAGCGCTCACCTGGGAATCAAAGGCGGCGCTGGTCAAAGGCGACCCCGAAGCTCCAGTTGCCTCCATCTCCTGCTCACCGATCGGATTCACATAGCGCCAGTTAGCGGCTGGTCTTTCTGACCTCGGGGCCTGTGGTAGTGCTGGGCCAGGCGCGATTCGGGCCAGGTGAGGGATGGAGGGTTCCCGTTCGGCAGACCTAGGCAGCCTCATTGCCAGGTGTTCTTTGGAGAGAGTCCCGAGAGCGGCTGGCGAGGGGGATGGGCAGCAGCAGCGGGCGAGGCTAGTTCGCAGGGGAGGTTAGAGCCAGGCTCGGGCAGGCCCCGCCCAGCCCTAGAAGTGCCGGCTGTGAGGGTTTCCCGGCGGGGAGCCGGCTGCCTTCCTGCCGAGCCTGGTGGCAGGATATGGCCCTTGGGCGTGTCTGCCTTCCAAATGCGCAGTTTCATGGAAGCAATATGGAGAGTCTAAATATAAGGAGCAGAAATCTGTTGAGCATAATCAGGGCTGGGAGGCTGCCATGTTGGTTTTACATCCAGCAGATGGCTCTGTTTTTCAATGTTTTTCAATGTTTGTCAATGTCTTTCAATGTTTACCAATGTTTTTCATGTTTTTACCTGTCACAGGTGTGACATGTATATAATATAGGTATATAAAAACATGCCCATAGTCGAATGCAATGCTGTGTCAAAATTTGAAAGCAATCGGTGAAGAACTTTCGGAGATGTGCGGCTATGTACAAACGGACATTTACATTTTTATTTATATAGATAAAATATATTGGCTGCCCCTCTTACCATAGGATAACTCTGAGAGGGTTACAATCATGAAAGAAATATATATATATATATTAATAACATAAATAGATTAATACCAATAACCGCTACAATCCAATTACAAGTGGGGTGGCCGGGGTCAGGTGGGGGGAAACAGATTGCCAATTCAATCATTTCTTCTGTTCGCTCTCATCTTATTCCTACCTATCCTTACATGTTAGCTAATAGAAAATAGCTAATAGGTTGCATTGATTCAGAATATCAGAACATGATTTTCCCAAAACTTTGTTTTGCTTCTTCCACCAAACATACTACTGTCACCAAGATATGGATTCCTACTTTAGCATGTACGCCTGATAATGTAGACGTCACCAATTCATACTTTCTTAATTTATACCAACATCTATTTCCATGCTAACGGTTCATTAGCTACTAACCACAAAATCAAAATATTTGCATTCAGTTCCATTACATCCTTCCCTTTTCCCTTTATTTCATAAATACACAACTTATTGATACATACACATACATATAAACACTTTACCTTTGTTCATTAATTCATGGTCTTTACCATTTACAATCTTTCTATGCCTTGATCACCATCAAATGGGACATGCTGCAGAAATTAACTTTCTGTTGAAACCAAGGGTGAAATGCTGCCGGCTCTATCCGGCTTGCGGGAGCCAGTAGCGCCGGCGGCGAGTAGTTCAGAGAACCAGGAATGCCGGCAGCAGGAGGCTCCGTTCCCCACCCCCCCAAACTGGGATGTCATCACATCCTGGTTTTGACCATCTGTGCATGCGCAGAAGGCTTTGTGCATGAGCAGATGACGGTGTGCATGTGCACATCAGCGAACTGGTAGGAAAGGTAAATACATTTCACCCCTGGTTGAAACATGTATTTGATCAGCCAAGGTTTTACTGTAATACTTTTTAGTATTATATTATAATTACAGTTACTAGTATGGTAGTAACCATACTAGATCATTTTCACATACTTTACCCAATATGTCATAAATGCAACCAAAGCCCAGTTTTCAGGAGTGAAATCTAAAATTTGTTACTACCAGTTCTGTGGGCGTGGCTTGGCGGGGGAGGGGTAATGTGACTGGGTGGGCATGGCCAACTTTTTTTTTTTACTTTTAAAAGCATTTTTTCTACAACCTTAAGAGGTTGCAGAAAAAAATGCTTTTAGAAGCCTCTGACAATCAGGCAAGTCAGCTGGGATCGCCAGAGGCTTTTAAAGGCAGAAAAAAATGCTTTGAAAAGCCTCTGACGATCCCAGCTGAGCCGCATGATCATCAGAGGCTTTTTTTTTTACTTTCAAAAGCATTTTTTCAGCCAAAGAGGTTGTAGAAAAAATGCTTTTAAAAGTAAAAAAAACAGCCTCTGATGATCGCGCGGCTCAGCTGGGCATGAGGGGGGGCGCAGGGATTTTTTCTGTGAACCATCCGCCACTATCGGTAGCGGATCAGGCGATCCAGCCCTAACCGGGAGCATTTCACCCCTGCCAGTTTTACTCCTAGATGTTAATACTATTCTGTTCAAGCTCCAACCTAAAGACTACTTGCCAGCCACTTGTCTTTTTTCTGTAGTCGATCAACTATGCGGTACACATAGTTAGTGCTGTATACTAACCCTATTCATCCCTGCACGTGCATATAAACATTATTTAATATGTTTTACATATACATGCTAAAAAGATAAACTCAATTTTCGGTTGTAGATAAGCATTCAGCTATTATCTATATATTGCATGGCATAATGTAGTTACTTGAGCACGAAGCAGCACCAAGAATAAGGAGCAAGAATAAATAATTTCCACTATGAATCAAGACTTTCATAAGAATGTTTCATTTTAAATTGCAAGATTACTTTCTTTCAGGAGAGGAGAGGAGAGGAGAGGAGAGGAGAGGAAACATAGCTGAAATATGATGGCAGAGGAACTGAATTTGTACCTTGTTTGTCTTGTTTCAGCTCCCTTTGACCATAAGAACTAGGGCAGTGATGGCAAACCTTTTCAGCACCGAGTGCCCAAATCGGAACATATGTGCATGTGCACGTGCTGGAGTGCCGGAAACCCGAAGACCAGCTGGCCGCCGCTTGCCTACCTGGGTTTTGGCTGTTTTTTAGGCCATTTTTTGGGCTGTTTCCTGCCTGTTTTTCGGGCCATTTTCGGGCCGTTTTTCAGAAACCAGAAGAGCAGCTGGCAATGGCACATGTGCCCACAGAGAGGGCTCTGTGTGCCACCTCTGGCATGCGTGCCGTAGGTTTGCCATCACGGAACTAGGGTAATCATGCTCAGGTGAAAGAATTATTATCATTCAACATTGTACTAACTTTTGTGTAAACTATGAAATCATAATCTGCAAGATTCTGCTGCATGATAATTTGTGAGCCAAAAAGATGCTTAATTCTCTGTCTGATATGATTCATTTGGCCAAATGTTCTAGCTAGCAGTAGTACAAGGAAGTTTTGGAATATTTCTGGTTCTATCTGGAAATGCCCTGGATTAAACCTGAAAACTTCTGTTTGCAAACATATTTTCGACTCTCTGAAAATACATAAAAAGTACATCTGGGGAAGCATTGAATAAGCTCTTTACATGAGCATATAATCTTCAAGATAATAACTTAGTCATTATAGATGGAAAAATAGAATTACATTCCTTTTGATATATGATTGTTCTCAGATAAATATATGTTCCCAAGTACTGTTAAAAGTATAAAACTGTACATATACGAAGAGCTTGCTAATACATATGCTATGTTCTTGTAGGTTGTAGAATTATTTATATATTGCAATAAAACTATTAAAATTGCCAGGGAGAAAGGAGACACCTACCTATAAATATTAAAACCTACAATGACATAATAAGGCTCATGTTGCCATAAATACATTTTCTTCCTGCAGAGAGAAATATTCTTAAATGGATTAACAGAGTGCAGTGATGTTACATTAAATTATAGTTATTTAAAATTGAACACAACCGTTAAAAATAATAAAGATTTACCCTTGGGATTTTTTGGAATCCATGATTTTCCAGGATCTCCCTTTGTGGATAATCCAACTAAGTTGCAACGACTACATTAAAAAACACAAACACACAAAAAATATGTTCCGTTTCATTTCAACATTTTTTTTCCAAGTAATTCCGTCAGAGAAGTAACTAAATAAAACAATATATTGTGCAGAAAACAGTGGAGGTCGATCTGTCTATCTATCTGTCTATCTCTCCATCGCTCTATTTTAAAATTGGGTGTTTCAGAAGCAGAGAGAAGGCCATTATTTGAAACACCTAGAACTTTGCAATTATTTTGCGGCTCTAATGGGACAGCTAAAGCTTTACAGATTGATTTTTGCAAACATGCAGTGTAAAAAAGGCTGGACAATGGCTTATGTAGCAAGGGACCACTTAAAAGCATCTGTCCATCCTCCTTTGCATGAACTATTGATAAATTTGTGAAGGAAAAGTTGCATGAGCCATATGGACATCCCCTTCTGTACAAGAGAGGAGTTGGGCTGAGCCAAATTGCTTTGTGATCTGTTCCAGAACAGCACATCAACACCTTCTCATTCAAAGCAGAAACCCCAGTTGAAACGTGGCAGCAAGTTCACATGAAAATGCTGCCTGGATATAGAGAACAAAGCCAAATGTTAACGTAAACCACATAGTGTGTACTGTATGTATTTGTAAAAGATTAATCTTTCATTCAGGTTCTTCTGCCAGCAAAGTTTAGGATAAGCCATGCAGGGTAAATTATGACATTAACAAGTTTTAAGAGACTCACACGTCCATAGAATCAATTGTAATATGCATGTTTATATTACAGAGATAATCTTACACAAACTGAACAGAGTTCAACCAATAAATTGTATACTTCTAGGCATGTATTTTAACTTGCAAAACTGAGTTAATTAGCAGAATACAAAAGTGTTTAACCATATGGTTCATGCCAAATGTATAGCATTTTCTTTAGATTACCATTTAACCACATTATATAGAAGTTTTCCTATGATTTTATTAAAATTGTTTTATTGTGAGTGCAAATCCCTTTGGACTGTAGCAACACAACCTTAATGGATGGAACCATATAGTAATCTGAGAAGTCACTGCTAACACTGGAGAAATAGATTTCATCACTATAAACAGAACTGGATAATACTCCCTGTGCATCATGAATTACAGTATGATGATTTTTGAAACTGCCTAAGCAGGGATCCCTTCCTTATCATTTCTTGACAAATGCAAAACCACTTGTGGAAACTAAAGTGGTCATCCTCCAGTATAAGGGTGATACAGAGCAAAATATATTTCCTTTCCTACATTAATCAATAGAATTGTAGGAAAATAGAAAACAATCCATTGGTTGTGTAAAATAATATTAAAATGTAAATCTGTCATTAAGCACTATGAGCTAATAAGATCATCATAAAGGAAAATTCATGTATTAATTGCTATTTCAGCAGTTTAAATACATTACCCAATTGAAGGAAGTTCATTATTTCTCTTTGATGCCAAAGCACGACCCACTGATTCAACTCTGGTAAATACATCACTTAGCCACACTTTCTCTATGAAAATCAGAAAACAGGAAGCCTGTTAGGAATAATTAAAATTAATGGGAGGACTGCAAATGAAGTGTGTAATTTCATTCTCTCTTGGAAAGGATGTGAGACATTTTGGAAGAAACTGCTGGCATATAAATACATATTGTTCACATAGGCAATTCACATATGCAACTGTATAATTAACTGGATTCAAGCCACTAAGGCCTTACACTCATTCTCTCTCTCTTTCTCTTTTTCAGAATAAAACAAGCCACATTTAAAAACAGGCCTTAGGAAAGATGTATGCTTGAAGTCCATGTTTTTAACAGAGGCAAGACAGTATAAAAATTGGGGAGACTTCAACAACATGCGCACATGAAAAGAACTCCTTCTGTTCTCTTCCCACACAGAAAAGAAAGAATTCCAAGTGGAAAATTACTTCAAGCTATCATGTAATGTTGCAAATACTGTTTCAGAGTATTGATAGAATTCATATCCTACCTCCAAATCACATACCAATTGCTAACTATCTTTATCTCTTTTTAGTGAAAGCCAGCCTGATTCTATTCATGTGCTATGTACTTAAGGTAGTCCCACTAAGTTCAAAGAGGATACGTTCAAAGTAACTGCATACAATAAGTCCCATCTGGGGGACAGACAGCTGTAGCACATTCTACAAGCTTTACCTAAGAGTAGACAAAACTAAAAAGTACAAATTGGGCTAAACATGACATTCCCAGTGTAGATAGATAGATAGATAGATAGATAGATAGATAGATAGATAGATAGATAGATAGATAGATAGATAGATAGATAGATAGATAGATAGATAGATAGAGATACACTAATGAATGGAAGAAAAAATAACAATATTTATAAGTACTGTCAATATAAAGTAACTTTACAATTATTAATTATTATTATAATTAAGAGGGAAAGGGGGGAAAGGCCTGACAATTATACTATTTTAAAAATTGTCCCCAATTTTCCTTTATCTCTTTATTGAAAAAACATAACTTGTATTAAATGTTGATAACAAATATCAGTGAAATATCCTTGCCACAAATCAAGTGAGATATGCCCGAAATACTGAAAACTATGTGGGATAAAAATACTGTTGGTACACAATAATTCATCCAAAACTATACTAATATTCCTATTAATCTCACCCAAATGTGTGGCAATTATGGGAAAAGTCCAACAAAATGAATTCATATCTCAACTCCTGAGCTGAGCCTCCAAGAAGGTATAATACTAACTTTCTCCCAAAGGTACTTTTTCAAAAGGAAACTGCTCATCCAAGAAGCTTCTTCAGTTCTGACTGAATGATAGAGAATGAAAGGATTTATATTCCTTGCACTCTTTCTGAGAGTCGTTGAGGCAACTTGGAGGTTTATCTAGCCCTTCCAAGTGACCTCAACAAATCTCAGAAAGAGTGCTAATGACCAGATGACTGCAGGGAATATAAATCCTTCCATTTGCCACCATTCAGTCAGAACTGAAGAAGCTTCTTGGGTGAGAAGCGAAATGTCTTCAAGCAAAACCAAGAAAGTCCAATTGCCTCTTGAAAAAGCACCTTTGGGACAACCATGACCTGGATAACTAAGAATCTCCATAGACACTAACTTTATCGTTATTCTTTGAGTTTCCAAAATTATGTATCCTTTATTTAAAACACAAAGAGAGAAAGAGAGAGATCTGGACAAAAATACCCATTTGGAGTTATCCATAAACAGTACTTTTCATTTTGTTATATCGACATCTGTGATTATATATTCAGCTGAGCTAGACAATAACACAGTTCCTCAGTTGTACTTTGACTTATCTTTTTTTGTACATGATGAAGCAAAAAAAGGACATTATGGAACATTTTCAATTTTACCCACTCCTAGCAAATATCCCTCTGTGATAGAAGGTCTAATGAAAGGATTTTTTTTTTTTAAAAAAAAAGAAGGATTTAACAATTTACTCCTATACAGTAGCTTATTTCTAAAGTATTGCTATTCTACAACACACAGTTAGGATTTATATGTTAGGGTTACTTCTATTTGATTCTTTGAAAAGAAGTAGTAGCTGGCTCTTTCTGTATGAATAATATAGTACTGTGGAATGAAAATCCATTCTTGAAGAAGCAATTTCTTGAATTCGTAGACATAAATAAAGATGCTTACATTCAGATAATAATGAGAAAGTTACTACTCCAGTCAATATTAGCATTTTACAATTCTGTGTAATGAATTAAAATTATTTGTAATAAGTTTATTTTTATGGTGCTTGATTTATTTCATAATATTCTGCAATGATCATCCAGCAGGTTATCTTTTCCAGATGAATGTTATATAGTCTCATTGTCCAGACAGACAGCTTTAGTTTTAAATGTTTTTTTCATTCTTCTTTTTCCTCAACAGCCAAACAAAAATAAAAAATTCTCTTCAGCTATTTGAAAATATGCAATGACCATGGCACCAGACTTACCCAAATAGATGCCTCCAGCAGGAGCCCATCCAGTAGGAAACCAGCTACATTATGGGCTCACACTGTCGCATCCTTTGCATCCTGTAATGGGGGCATCAGGATGGCATCAGGGAAGTCACCACTTAGTCAAATCATTTATTATGACAACATAAATCAGAAACTTCTCAATATATTTTATAACTAAGTCACTGTATTCTCTTTCAATTCATTTGAAAATAAATACTTCAATTCTGTTCAAAATTTCATTTTATCCAACAACTAAAGTTATCGCTAACTAGACAGGAAGTACTATTGAAAATGAATACTTTTGAATAAAACTTAAGATTCAATTATAGGTCATAAATATGCAAGAAATAACTCATATAAGGAAAATGTTAAAAAGCTGCTCTGAGCTCATAGAAGAACATACAGATACATACAGTTCTAATTCAATCTAGCCAAAGCTTTTATCAGAAAATTAGGATGCTTCCTTTATAGGAAATATGAAGAGTTCATGATGGAATGTTGTAAATAATTAAGCTATCAGTTTAAAAACATTATATTTGTAATAGTAACCAGAGGTGGGTTTCAGCAGGTTCTGACCAGTTCTGGAGAATCGGTAACGGAAATTTTGAGTAGTTTGGAGAACCGGCAAATACCACCTCTGGTTGGCCCCAGAGTGGGGTGGGAATGGGGATTTTGCAATATCCTTCGCCTGGAGTGGGGAGGGTATGAAGATTTTACAGTATCCTTCCCTGGGGTGGGGTGTGAATGGAGATTTTACAGTATCCTTCCCCTGCCACGCCCACCAAGCCACTCTCACTAAGCCATGCCATGCCATGCCCACCAAGCCACACCCACAGAACTGGTAGTAAAAAAATTTGAAACCCACCACTGATAGTAACTATGAGAGGGATCTTGAGGTCCTAGTGGACAATCACTTAAATGTGCAGTGTGTTGCAGCTGCCAAAAGAGCCAATGCAGTCCTAGGCTGCATTAACAGAGGGATAGTATCAAGATCACATAAAGTGTTAATACCACTTTAGAATGTTTTGGTAAGACCACACTTGGAATATTGCATCCAGTTTTGGTCACCACAATATAAAAAAGATGCTGAGATTCTAAAAAGTGTGCAGAAAAGACCAACAAAGATGATTAGGGGATTGGAGGTTAAAGCATATGAAGAACGGTGGCAAGAGTATGAGTATGTCTAGTTTAATGAAAAGGACTAGAGGTGACATGCTAGCAGTGTTCCAATATTTGAGGGGCTGCCACAGGGAAGAGGAGGTCAATCTATTGTCAAAAGCATCTGAAGGCAGGACAAGAAGCAACTGATAGAAACTAATCAAGGAGAGAAGCAACCTAGAACTAAGGAAACATTTCCTGACAGTTAGAACAATTAATCAGTGGAACAAGTTGCCTCCAGAAGTTGTGGGTGCTCGAACACTGGAGATTTTTAAGAACAGATTGGACACCATTTGTCTGAAATGGTATAGGGTTTCCTGATTGAGTCGGAGTTGGACTGGAAGACCTCCAAGGTCCCTTCCAACTCTGTTAGTCTTCTAGAATAAGGGATGTCTGAAGTTGAATAGCTTATTTTCATCTGGAATTTAATACAGTACACTATCAAAAGTCTTTAGAATCTGAGGCATGAGTAGGGAGTTACAGCATTAAATTGTTTATATTCGTTTATTTAATTATGTAAACAGACTTAAGGCTTACTAGATTTATGGGAGTTGCGGAATGAGATATTACTAGAAATATGAGATGCTCCAGATTATGACTGGAGAAGGATGTCTACCTGCAACTGAAGAATAATGTCTAGCCATATGTTCACCTTGCTATTCCCCTTAAATCTAATTTCCTCGACCTACTTTATAGAGGAGGGAGGAGCCAACTGCACTAGACCAACATGATATTGCCCATGACCTTCAAATGAAAAAGGCTTCATCCTAAAGTGAGTTGATAATACTATACATCCACAGTTTACAGACATAAAAACAGCATACATTAATTCATGACATTGACCAATATATCCCAAACTTGTAATGATCCTTTTGCAGGCATACAGGGGCTTCTTACATATATATAGGCCATTGCTTTGCACTAAGAACTCATTCTAACTAAAGTGTCTAGTACTGGAAACTGCATCAAAATTCAAGCAAAACTTATTTTCTTTTTTAAAAAAATACATACATATACCTAAACAAATTTGTCTCACCTTTTTTTTCACCGCATTCTAATAACTGTGATCCATCTGATCTTGTGTTTGGATGGATGATGCTACTTGGGAGCAGCCTTGCGTCTGTGCGCAGTATGTGTTTTAAAGGTACTTTGCTTGGTTGTGCTTTCTGAAAGGTATGCCTGTATTGACTATCCACACCAGCCTTTAAAATAGGTAGAGATCTAGTAGATGTCCTTCTTGGTGGATTCCCAGGAACTTTATTAAGAGAAAGCCAATCCATTGTACAGTTCTGCTGACAAAATATATATATATATATAGCTGTAACAATCATTACTTTCAGTCAGATATTATTTCTGCTACTCTGCTGCTATCAATCTTTGAATCCAGACTTTCCAGGAAAGTCACAAAACAGTACTGTTCCTAAAGGAAATACAAAACCTCGCATTATGTTACCAAATAAAATCATTGCATTATTATATAAAATCAGCATGACATGATGCCAGCAATTTAGACCTTAATTACAGGTCTGTCTATATCCTACTGTTCTTCTACCTGCAGTTCCTGATTTTTCTCATTAACCTCAAGAGTGCAAGGCAATTTTAGAGAATCTCAGGGGCAATGTATCATTTGCAGAGGACTATAATAGTAATAATAGCTCAGTTCTCATGAATACAGGTTCACATCAACAGGGACCTCTTCTAACCTATGCATAGTCATTTAATGTCTGCTTAGCGCCCACATCAACTGTGCATGCATAAAATTCTCTGCAGAAGATTAGGAATTTGAGAAAGCAGCATTTCTAGTTGCTCTGTGCAAGCAAATACCATGCATATGTTCAGGGGGGAAAAAATCATAGACTTTCCCATTTCTTATAAATCATGTTTGTAATTTCTCTTTCCTCCTACTTACTTTAATTGCTTGTTCTTCCCACAATATTTTTAGCAAGTGTAGATAGATTGCTTCCTTTGTCCTTACATTATCACTCGCTGCAATTCAGTAAGGAATAAATTAAAGGATATAAAGTTAGACATCCAGCCATTTCTTCTTAACCAAATAGTGGCAGAGACAAATTTAGCATTCACCTTCTGTCTTTTATGGGAGTAAGGTGGAGAGCAGGGATGAAATCCAGCAAGTTCTGACAGATTCCGGAGAACCGGTAGCGAAAATTTTGAGTAGTTCGGAGAACCGGCAAATAACACCTCTGGCTGGCCCCAGAGTGGGAAGGGAATGGAGATTTTGCAATATCCTTCCCCCAGGAGTGGGGCGGGAATGGAGATTTTGCAGTATCCTTCCCCTGCCACTCCCACCAAGCCATGCCCACCAAGCCTCACCACGCCCACCAAGCCACACCCACAGAACCGGTAATAAAAAAATTTGAATTTCACCACTGGTGGAGAGTCTGTGTCTTTCATGGAGAAAGTAGTAGCAAAAGAAAGGTAGAAAATAGGCAGAGCTGAGGCAAACAGATAGATATTGCTAATACTAGGAATGGATCCTATTTCAAATACCAATTGCAATCTCCTATTTTATTCTATGAACTTGTAATTGGATTTTAAAAAATGAAAGAAAAGCAATTAGGAAAAAAAACTGGCTTAGAGAAAAAACTTTAATATTTTCTTTCATTTTATAAAAAAGCAAAGGGTACAAAAATGGTCAATTGGTCTTAATTTTCACTGCAGATTCAATGCAATCCCAAATTGTGCATATAATCTGTTGATTTCACTAGAACTTTCTAAGCCTTACACTATAGAGAATATTTACAGAGCAATAAACTTCACTGAAAAAAAATTAAGAGTTTTCAATTGACACTTTTTTTTGGCATAAAGGATGAGCAATAAATTGTGGAAATAACCATTTACATCTTAAATACTCAAACATTAAACATTAATTTGTTAGATCCTTGGAATCCCAACATATCTATCAACAATATGTACAGATGAAATCTGCTATTGTTACTTTTGAACTTCTTAGATTAAGCAGATAAAAAGAACAATGCAAGATCAGGGCAAAGAGTCATATACTTAGCATTCTGCTATTCTAAAGGAGCTGATCAGTACAGATCATAATTGTAAGAGCACCCTCCATTGTGTACTTCAGTAATTGGCACTGAAATACATGCTGCATTTGTTTGGAAGCATAATATAACTGATTCACAATACTCTCATTGCTTCTTGTGGATGCAGATTATATAGCTTAATTTTATACTGCGTGAAAAATACTGACTTTTATTGCTACGAAAACTTTCACTATGCTTATTGGGCAATCTCAGCGCTCACTATATGGGAGAAAAATAGACTCTATCAAGCTACTTTCTCTGCACATATTTTTACACGTCTCAACTATATCAGATCCTGCTCACTTTTTTTGAACCTAAAAACTACAAACTGCTACCTTCTCAGGAACTCAGCCTTAGGGCTTGCTAAGCATAGCAATCCTTGTATATTCTTCCACATTAACTTCCTTCAAGTGGCTCTCCAAATCACTCCCCCACCCCCAAAAAAATTACTGTTGGAAGATATGTGCATGTCTTTGTACATACACACTGATTGAAGCAGACTTGTACATATACAATAACTGAATTGTATAATGTGAAAACAATACTTTACAAACACACTGAATATTAAAAACATTTAAAATTAGTAAAAAAAAAATCATTAAGTTCCATCTCAGTCCTCAAATACTAAAACAATCCTATTTCTATGGTCAATTAGTACAGAAGTGACCATTATTTCTATAGTTCTGATTTTTCAATTCAAATAATTCCTATTGCACAAAACTGATTGTCAAACATTTTAACCTTAATAATCACCTTTGTTCTAGGTTTTTAGAAAGCAATCGTCACTTATCTGGTCTCATTATATAATCCATTGTATAAAGGGATTACATCTGTATTTCTTAATTGGCATTTCCTAAAAAAAAACAGGGCAAACTTTTCGGTATGTAGACTTTCCACTGCTTCAAGATAGTAACAGACATAGATGGTTATCTCAGTATTAGAAATGTATCATATAGTGATTCACATGATAACTTTTCTTTCTGAAAATGGTCATGCTCTGCTTGACAGCTGATTCTCTCATTACAAAAGATTAAAAACATAGATGACATATTGGAAGAAATAATCATCTAACCCATGAGTAAGTCACACCTCTTCATCTCTCTAATCTTCAGGTTGAAGAATGCTATGCACAAAGGAGAACAGAAAAGAGAAAGAAAACTCTGAATTTTGGAAAGCCATGCCCCACCAAAAGAACCAAATTTTCCTTTCTTGCAATGGAGGGAATTGTTCAACTCATTTGAACAATTTGAATCTAAAGCAGAATCGCACCAATAGCAGGAATCTGGAAAATGGCATTTACAGACAATGGTTCCTAGGTGATAAAGTTTAACTCTTGGCCCCTTCTCTTCTCTCTTTCTCTGTCTCCTCTTTTTGTATAATTAAATTAGAAATACACTCCAGATATTAATGTTTCTTTGATAGAGTCAATTAGATTATAATCCAAAAATTCCAATGAGTTTCACCATAATCCATTCAACTTTTTCAAACAAATCTCAACTCCTACTGAGAATAATTTTGTCTTTAATACTGCAGTTACATTTTTCTCAATAACTCTATACTGTTCAATCAGCTCTAAGTGCTGATCTACATACGTATGAAACTAAGACCATTGTTTCCCATTAAATATTCTGCAAGTACCTACAAGCTATAAGTACCTATATGAAATATTATATTTCTTTGAATGTTCATTTTACACTTTTATTAGTTTAATAGTTTTTTTAAAACTACAACTTAACAAAGTTACCAATTACTTAAAATTGAATAAGCATTTGAATAAGCATTGTTGTTCCCATACTACTACCAAACTACAGTTTTAAACTCAAAAAAATAAAAATATAGCACTGCGTGATACCAATCCTTACCTTCATTGTAATTTTTTTTTAAATGCCACACTACTGCAACGACCCTAATATCTAGCTACCAACCTCAGTTTAAAAACCTTTTTTAAAAAGAGACTCCCCAACACTTTCAAAGATAACCTATTTTATTTTATTTTTTAATTTTATTTTATTTCCCTGTTATTCACTATCATGAAAGTCACCTTATCATTTAGATCCTTCCTGTAATTTGAATCAATTAGTTCAGGATATAAGCCAGGGGTCCTCAAACTTGGCAGCTTTAAGACTTGTGGACTTCAACTCCCAAAATTGAAGTCCACAAGTCTTAAAGCTGCCAAGTTTGAAGACCTCTGATATAAGCCCTTACTGTCCTTAAAAATCTTGAAGAGCAAGCAAATGCTGACAATTCTTGAAGCTGATATCAGCACAGCTGGAAAGAACCTATATTGAGAACATCAAAAAACTATTTATTTAAGTATTTAGGAGTATGTATCGCACACTCAAACACGAAATTGTTTAAAAACAATTATGAAGTTCTTTGGCAAAAAGTACAGAAAGAAATGGAAAATTGGAAAAAGCTACAACTATCATTACTGGGAAGGATAGCAGCAATAAAAATGAATGTATTACCTAGGTTTTTATTTTTGTTTCAAATGATACCAGTGCTTAAGAAAGACGGAAATTTGATGGAATGGCAGAAAGGGGTTAATACTTTTATTTGGGGTGGGAAGAAACCAAGAGTAAAACTGAAAATTATACAGGATGTACGTGAGAGTGGAGGTTTTAAAATGCCTAACTTAAGATTGTATTATGAAGCAGCTGTTTTATCACAAATTAGCAACTGGTTTAACTTAACTGAAGAAAGAATGTTAAATATAGAAGGCTATGATTTGTTATATGGATGGCATGCTTATCTGTTATATGAAAAAAAAGTGGATAAAGTGTTTAAGGGTCATATACTTAGAAATGCGTTGTTGAGGGTTTGGAAAAAGTATCAATATAAGCTAAAATGCGTTGTTGAGGGTTTGGAAAAAGTATCAATATAAGCTAAATTATAAGATACCCATATGGGCAAATCCCAGACATGCAATAGAAAATATAAGTAAAGAGCAAAAAACAGAGGTGATTACTTATAAAGAGATTCTTCTTTTGGAAAGGGGTAAGCTGCAATTGAAATCTTTAGATGTATTAAAAGAAGAAGGGATAATTTATACTTGGTTTCAGTACGGTCAGCTTCAAGCTAGATGGAGGGAAGATCAAAAAATTGGTGTTATGCAAAATGAGGAAAATCTGGTGAAACAGATTAGAGATCAAAGTCAGATGCATATTAAAAGGTTGTATAATGCTTTATTGGAAATAGATTCAGAAATGGAATTGGTTAAGGATTGTATGATAAAATGGGCACAAAATTTTCAGGAACCAGTGATGATGGAAACATGGGGAAAGATTTGGGTCAGAAATGTCAAATTTACGCAAGCACAAAATTTGAGAGAGAATTTTTACAAATGTTTTATAGATGGCACTTAGATCCTAAAAAATTATCATGTATGTATCCAAACTTACAAGCTAAATGTTGGAGATGTGAATCTGATGATGCAACTTATTACCATATATGGTGGACTTGCAAGAAAATCAAGGCATTTTGGATAAAAATTTGGTGGGTGATGCAGAACATTCTGAAAAAAAGGTTGAAATTTACTCCTCAATTGTTTTTACTGGGTATAATGACGGATTGTACAGTATTAGAGACTAAACTGATTTTGAACTTAATATCAGCAGCTAGGCTGTTGGTAGCGCAATATTGGAAGAAGGACTCTTTGCCTACTATTGAAGAATGGACACTGAAAGTAGCGAATTTAGCGGAAATGGCAGAAATTTCAGCATATTTGAAGGACTATATACAAGAAAGATACATATTGGAATGGAGAAGATGGATTGATTATATTCAAAATATGTATCAGACAAGAAAATATCAAATAGTTTATGAATGAATGTTAAACTTTAGAAGTATTATCTTATCAATAGTGGAGTTAAGGTTTTGGGGGGGATTTGGCAGTTTAAGAATAGTTAGGTTAATTTAGCATATGATTGTTAACAGAAATACCCTGTATTTTGCTCTGGGAAGTCTGGGGGGGAGAGTGGGATGGGAGGGGGGGAAGGGGTGTGGGGGTGGTGGGGAGGGAATTGGGGGGGATTTTTCTTTGTAAAACTTTTCAATAAAAAAAAACTATTTATTTGTTCAACTATTTCAATGTGTGGTTTGTTTTTTCTGGTAGAACTTATTTTCCTGGCAAATTGTCATCTCTATTTCTTACAGATTATGTACCAGTTTGATTGTAAGAATTAGCCAAAGCAAAATAGTGATTCTCACTGTACATGGCTAACATTAAGACAAGATGTTTTTAAACTCCTCAAGCATGCTAACTTAACACCAATAATCTTTCATCATTCCTTCATTTTATCTGTTAAAACCATTGCCAACTGCCAAAATCAGGTAATTTTTTTTCTTCTTCTTCATTATATATATATATTTTCTTTTGCATCCTTATTTCAAGCATTGTCCTCTGGCTTATCATATTTAACTTTTAATCATTTCAATAGCTTTATTTGCAGATATACTTGCAATGACCTTTTCTTTATACCATATTTCATTTCTTCTATGTATCTTTATCCATAAGCTTCTATATTAGATTAGAATTTTATTGGCCAAGTGTGATTGGACACACAAGGAATTTGTCTTGGTGCATACGCTCTCAGTGTACATAAAATAAAAAATATGTTCGTCAAGAATTATACAGTACAACACTTAATGATAGTCATAGGGTACAAATAAGCAATCAAATCACATTAGTAAACAATCGATATAAATCGTAAGAATACCAGCAACAAGGTTACAGTCATAAGTGGGATTTATTAGCCACTTACCTATGCATCAAGTACATAATTTGTGATTGCATTTATGATTTATGTCTCTCTCATTTCTACTTTTTCCTTTCTGCTCTGATCAGCTTTATGTTCTCTGTGTTATTCTGTATGTACTGTAGTCCAATCATTTTAGACTCTTCTTTGGAGGTCTAGCATTGATTGCACTATTTATATCATAAATTTAACTATGCAATTCACAGCCACTTGAATACTACATTTAGTGAGCCCTGGGTACAATCTTATCCAAAGAGGTCCAGAGTTCCTTGCAGGTGCGATTCTTCCGATGAATCCTCCATTAAAACACAAGATTGACAGGCATTGACAGCCTGTTACTGAAAATGAAGATCACAATCTTTTATCCTTACCTTGTTTACACACTTTACTTTCTGCCTATCATATCATTTTTGACATTCTCATCAACTACTATACATATTACTTCACATAAAAAGGATCTTCCTTTGCTTTTCAATTGGATGTTAAAGTATGTTTTAAGCAATAGGTGTGCCCTCTTTATGTTGAGCATGACTCCATTGATCCTATAGACTATATAGACCAAGCGTGTCAAACTTGATTTCATTGAGGGCCACATCAGGTTTTGTGTTTGACCTTGGGGGGGTCTGGGGGTATGGCCAGGGTGGGTGTGGCCATCTTGACATCGCTCGTATCAGGTGGCTTGAGTATTCTGCCAGCGAAAACAGGCTCCCAATCTCCATTTTGGCTGGGACGGCCTTCAGCAACCCTCTGCCAGTGAAAACGGAGATCGGGAGGGTAGGATTTCTTATTGCAGTGTTGCTTTGGTGCATATCGACAGCTATAAATTTTAGCAACGTTAATGAAAAATAAAAATAAAGTAGCAGCAAGGCAGAGCCAGGTAAGAAAAAACAAAATAAACTCTGGGGTTTCATTTTGAAGAAAAGGAAGTCATTCTTTACACATAGAGGTGTAAAGATGGCACAGTGGTTAGAGTGCAGCACTGCAGGCTACTTCAGCTGACTGGTAGCTGCAGTTTGGCAGTTCAAATCTCACAAGCTCAATGTTGACTCAGCCTTCCATCCTTCCGAGGTCATTAAAATGAGGACCCAGATTGTTGGGGGCAATATGCTGTAAACCGCTTAGAGAGGACTGTAAAAGCACTATGAAGCGGTATATAAATCTAAGTCCTATTGTTATTGCTATATAGGCTTATATACTCTGGATATTCACACATGTAACCTAATGACTATATTAAAAAACAATGAAAAAAAATACTCTGATTCTTTTATTATTACGTCTCAGTGAACAGCAATTATTTCTTGCCCTATTTACCTTCTGCCTCACCTAATATCTTGCAACAGCTGAAGTAGTGTATGATGCAATTTAGCACTTAGGGGTGCTTAGATCTGGCCCATGGGGCCAACCCGGAAACAGTGAAGGATGGCCCGCGGTGCCTCTGCCAGCAAAAACGGAGCTAGGGAAGGCTGAGGGTGGCCCTCCTGAGCTTCGTTTTCACTGACAGAGGGTTGCAAAAAGCTGTTGCAGCCGAAAATAGAGCTCGGGAGCCCATTTTCGCTGGCAGAGTGCTCAGGCCACCACAGGCACCCCCGACACGAGTGACATCAAGCTGGCCATACCCACCCTTGCCACGCCCATCTCACACACACACCCAAGGTCAAACACAACCTTAATGCGGCCCTCAATGCAATCAAGTTTGACATCCCTGCACTACAGCATGAGGTACAATTTCAACTTACTGTAAAAATGCCTATTTTGGATTATAAGGAAATGGATTAAATTCTTTTTCATATTATTTGTACTTTTCTAAGCACAGATAGAGAGATCATGTCATCTTTGTGATTTTATCTCTTTTGTATTTAAAACAGAACTGGCCATGCATGGTCTTTTAACGTTCTCTATCAAACTTATATAGTGATTTCTCCACATTTTTACAACGTGAGGAGAAATATTTCAAGAATGTATTAAGAATAATGATGCAATAGCATCATTATTACTATTGAAAACTCCTAATGGGAGGAAGTCCCTAACAATAACTTCACTTTTGGGTTTAACTGCAATTTGGGAAGCCAAGAAACCACTAGAGGCATAATTGTGCAATAACATCTGGGAAAGCCTTGGCCGCCTTGTTGCCAAGCAAGTGAAACAATAACATACTGAAATGTTGTTCTGCTTTTGAAATAATCTCTAAAGCAAATTCTGTTTCATATATTGAACGAAAACAAGAATACAAAATTCAGGAGCTTTTTTTTCTATCCACCAATCATAATATCACAGAAAATAATATAGGTTTCAATTAGATTACCTTTGTCTCTAGGTTAGAAATCAGATTGAGGTTCATCAACTGAGGTTCTTTTTCTTGGAGGGACATGTGATTATCTTACAACTTCCTGATTGGCCAAAGTTTCCTTACTTGTTTTACCTGTATAATCAAGATTTATCAAGGGCTTCATCGCACATTTTATAGAAAATGTCTTATTACTAAATATGTATATATTTTTCTGGCAGAACATATTATTCTATTATATAATTATCGTACTACATTGCCTCTCCTGCAAATTTATTGAAGCTTGAACATGAGGAAGCTATGGAATAAGGGAAATGAAGAAGATTAGTTCCTCATTTTCCCTCAGCTGCTGCCACTTATGTAGGAGAAGAAAGGGGTTTTTTATGCTTTCTACTGCCAAAGACTGCTTAACCTCCTCATTCCCAGGTTTCCAGAGGAAGAGGGATAATGTCATAAATTTATTTTGATGCTATCCAAAATGCCTTTTATTGAAACAATTTTCTCTATCCTTTCTCTCTTTTCCTTTTTAAAGAAAATGAAGAGAAACAGGAAGGGTGTCCATGGAAGCAATATTTAATCTATCTGTCATGGATTAATCAACCAAAGAATTAATTGATTAATCAGTGGAGCTCTAATTCTAATTAGTATGGCAAAATTTCAGTTAGTAAATCAGATTGACACGAACCACTAGAGGGGGATGCTATAGCTCACCAAGTCTCCAACCAAGACATTTTGCTGGCTGAAGTAAAGTTGGCATGTGTCAATACTTAATGAGCCAACTGGACAGGTAATTTATTCTTATATCAACACCAAGAATGGGACATCAGATTCTGTGCAGAAGAGCAGTTTAATTCACCAGGCCTAAAATAGGCCATATGTCAACCACAGATCTGTCTTCAATAAACTGGCCGCCTTTTTCCACTCCATGCTTTTGCCTGATTATGCTTTTTATCCCAACAGAAGATTTTTATGAGGAAGTCTGTAATGTAAAACCAAACTCTTACCACAGAAATATAATTAGAACTTAAAAGGGAAAGCGCTGGATGCATTTCGGATGTTTCTGGATTTGACAATTTATGAGAAATGCTGACAATGAAAATTAAATCTTGCTTCTGGGCCTCACGGAATATGATTTTCTGTTCTACAACACTGGGTTGCTTTTTCATATTATTTGGCTATACTAGAAGAAAGTGCTTCTTCTGTTATCTTTAATAGTGATCCTTTGCATATCCCAAAAGCCTCCAAGAATGAAAATAACAGGAATTAAGCAAGGTGTCTACAGGAAAGGGAATCTGGCTCAGATAGGTGATGGCTTGCAGGGGAATGATTTCCTATCCCATAAACCTGATTATCAATATCATCTGGCTCACACATGAGGAGAAGGAAACATTTAAGACCATGGCACCTGGCTAGACACACACTTGTTAAAAATTTTTTAAAAAACCAATTTCATTTAATTTTTTTTAATTAAATTATCACAACCAGGATATGGATATAATCCCCACCACCATCACTTTCTGGTTATATATATAGGGAGTAAATAAAAATGACTTTAATGTTTTTTAAATACTGAATTTAGTAGGATTATTTGAGTAAACAATCATACATTTTTTCTGACATGGGAAGAGGTCTGGATATAAATGTAATGGAAGGGAGGGAAGAGCACTGGATATAGTATGAAATTCAGTTTGGGGTTATTTTCTCTGTTCTACTCCTAAACTGATTCCCCAACAAGGAAGATTAGTAAAACACAATTTAGACTCATAGAATTATCCAGTTGGGAAGAATCATTTAGGCCACCACATGTAGCTACTTGCTCCAGATATCTAAATAAAAGCATTCACAGCAGATTCTTGTCTAGCTTCCACTTAGGCAAATCCTGTGACAATGATGCATTATTCCCATTGTGCAGCTGGTTTCCACCATCGAACTATCTTAGTGTTAGATTTTTCTAACATTCCATAATACCTCTTTCATTGGGTTTATTTTGTCAAATATAAAGATGAAGAAATAGTGAAGGTAGTGGATATGATCTCCTTGGGATATGCAGACTTGGGGATCTTTGCCAGAATCCCTCATGCTAGACACCTTCAACAAATCTGATGCAGGTAGGCCTCGACTTACAACCTTTTGTAAGTGACCGTTCGAAGTTACTGAAAAAAGTGACTTATGACTGTTTTTCACGCTTACGACTATTGCAGCAGCCCCATGGTCATGTGATAAAAATTTGGATGCTTGGCAACTGGCTCATATTTATGATACTTGCAGCGTCAGAGGGTCATGTGACCACTTTTTGTGACCTTCTGACAAACAAAGTCAATGGGGAAGCCAGATTCACTTAACAACCATGTTACTCAGGGGTGAAATGCTCCCAGTTCAGACTGGATCACCTGATCCAGTAGCAATGGAGGCAGGTGGTTCGGAGAACCGGTAGCAAAAATCCCTGCCCACCCCCCCATTGCCCAGCTGAGCCATGCAGAGGCTTTTTTTTTATTTTTCTACAACCTCTTTGGCCAAAAAAATGCTTTTAAAAGTAAAAAAAAAAAAGCCTCTGATGATCGTGCGGCTCAGGTGGGATCATCAGCGGCTTTTAAAAGCATTTTTTCTACAACCTCTTCGGCCGAAGAGATTGTAGAAAAAATGTTTTTAAAAGGAAAAAAAGCCTCGCTGATCAGCTGGGATCGTCAGCTGGGATCATCAGAGGCTTTAAAAAAAAAAAGAAAGCCTCTGCCGATCAGGCAAGGCAGCTGGAATCGGCAGAGGCTTTAAAAGCATTTTTTTTACAACCTCTTCAGCTGAAGAGGTTGTAGAAAAAATAATTTTAAAAGTTAAAAAAAAAAAAAGTTGGCCACACCCACTCAGTCATATTACCCCCCCACCACCACCACCACTAAGCCACACACACAGAACCGGTAGTAACAAATTTTACATTTCACCACTGATGTTACTAAATCAACAACTGCAGTGATTCACTCAACAACTGTGGCAATAAAGGTGCCACAAATGCCGACAAAACTCCCTTAGCAATTTAGCAATGGAAATTTTGGGTTTAATTGTGATCATAAGTCAAGGACTACCTTTAATACAGATGAAGCCCCAACAGGAGCCATGGCAAATGAGTGACTTAGAGTGAAAGAGGAGCTGCCAGCTCTTGCTGGTACCATATCTTGAAAGTGGGGCAAAGGAAGACGATGTAAAGGAAGCATAGATGTCAAAGGCCCTTGGCATTTTCTCCAGCATTCAATGCTTCCTGCTCTCTTATTTATTTCCTGAGTCACTTTCACTTTCTCTCTCTTTCTCTTACTTGCCTTCAGCTACCATAGTCTGAAAGAGGTTTAATGAATGAGTGCTCACTATTGGAAGGTCCCACTGTCTTGAGAGAGCTTTATTTATGCTCTTATCCTACAACTGAAAAACATTGAAGATACAAAAGCTTTAATATTCTTTATGAAAAACTCAAATATTTGAACAGTACTATATTTCGTTCATTTTTTCTTCTGTGATTAAATTTGCCCAACATTTTCCATCTTGCTTCTAGCATCCTTGCTATTCTTCTGAACCTATAAGTAGTTCTCAGTTTACAATCACAACTGGTACTGGAATTTCCATCATAAGTCACTGTAGGCATAGGTCAAGTCAAAACTGATTTTATGAGCATTTTTATGACATCAAATGAATCACCCTGTTCTTATATGAAACTTAATCAGCAGTTGTTAAGGGAATCTTAATCTGTGGTTGCTAAGCAATTGCTATGGCTGTAATGGTCAACCCATTTTTCCAAATGAGTGGGTTTTGTGCTATAAAGCGGCAAGAAAGGTTGCAAATTGTGATTATGTGATCATAGGACACTACAATCAGTTGTAAATGCGACCTGGTTGTCAAGTGCAACCACGTTACCACAGATATGGTGCAATGGTTGTAAGTTGGTAGGACTAGTCATAAGTACGAGACCACTGTAACTTCTAATGAATAGTCATAAATTGAGAACTACCTGCATACCAGTTGAACTGAACATAGTTGGAAAATTCTTGTAATCAAACTTCCAGTTTAGTGTGTACTCAAATCCATGTATTCAGATCAGATCAAGCAAGCATGCTCCCAATTCAGGTAGCAAAATAAACCTCATGCTTGTCCCAAAGATGCTTTTTTTTTCCCCCAAGAGGCAACTGGACTTTCTGGTTTTTCTTTGAAGACATTTCGCTTCTCATCCAAGAAGCTTCTTCAGCTCTGACTGGATGGTGTGGAATAGAAGGATTTATACTCCTTGCAGACAACTGGACATTTGCATTCTTTTAGCTGGTCATTAAGGTCACCAGAATGGTACAAATTGGTGAGGAGCCTTCTTGGAACTGTTGAAAGGACTGTGTTGTAGATTGGAGATAGATGATGTCGTATCACTCTCCCTCTGTTGAGAGAGGGCTGTTCAATTTTGACATAGATGGCCTCTTTAACTACTCTTTCAAACCAGCAATCCTCTCTGTCCAAAATATGGACTTTGTTATCTTTAAAAGAGTGGCCTATGTCTTTTAAATGTTGAATATTTCACCCATCAAATTACTTCTTTAATGGTACATAATAGGAGACAGATAACCTAGTGCCCTACTTTTCATCTCTGTTCTACTACTTCTATATACCTAAAATAATTACAGCTGAAATAACCAAATACCACCTTTTTTTGGCATTGTTCATGCTCTGTGCTCTATTACCATTTTTCCAGCTATACTCAGTGCTGATATAAGTACTATTCCTCCATAAGACTATAATCAAACTAGGTATTTTCCCATCCTATAAGTTTTGTTTTATTTCTGTTCATTAAGTTCATAACTCTGTACTACTTTGTGTTAAGAATAATAATGATCCCATTTATGTAATTAAAATAAGTCTATATACTGTAGGTTAGGACAAGTTATTTATACTGTTACATAAATAAATAAATAAAAATTTGAGGTTTTCTCTATTCGGAAGTGTTAGCCTTTCTGTTTTATTCATCTAAAAATATGATAACTATTCTTTTCATCTCTTTATCAAAGTTATTAACAAAATGAATTACTCGTGTGACTTAATATTTCACTCCAGTTTGAACACTCTTTTGGAGTACAATTAGTA